CGGGCCGCCGGCCGCTGGCGCTGCCCCGGAGCCCCCGCGGGACGGGCGTCCGGAGCCGCTGCCGGCGCGGCGAGCGAGGGGACGGGCGGTAAGTCCTGTTCCCCTGCTCTGCTCCCCTGCCCCGCTCGCTCCCTGCGTCCCTCGCTCGCTCTCCCGGCTCCGCAACCCCTCTCCGGCGGCTCCCGGCTCGTCCCCGCTGGGGGGTTTGTGACCCCTCCTTGCCTCCTACTCACTCGCCAACTTTCCCGTCCCTCTCGCCCGTTTCCAATCGCCCTTCGGATTTTCTTGGTTTTTTTCGCTTTCTTTTCCTGTTGTTTCTGGGGTTTTTTTTTTTTGGTTTTTTTTTTTTTTTTTTTTTTATTTTTGGCTCTGGCGTTCCCCCTCTCGCACTCGCTTCGCTCCTTTCGCTTCTTCCTTCGCTACTTCCCCGGCTTCCTCCGGCTTTTCCTCTTGGCATCCGCTGGGCATCGCGTGGAAAAGTAAGGGATATTTTTCGGTGTCCTTGAGGAAGGGAATTCAAAACCTACTTTTCTTACACAAGGAAATCTTTGTAGTAGTTTTCTTTCCCCTTCTCTTCCTGTCACCGGAAAGAAAATTAAACCTATTTTTGTCCTTTTCATTTTTCCCCCCCTTTTGCTACGTGGACTGTTTGTTTTGGTATTTTTTTTCTTCTCCCCCTTCTTCGGGCAGTGCCGGTTTGTTTCACGATTAATCTCTTTTATTCCTGCCCCAAACACCTCCCTCTCTCTTTTTCTTCCCTAGTTAGAAGAAAGATTAGAAGAAAATGTGTTTTGCCGGCAGGGAATGCATGAGACTTTTTGGTTTGTTTTTTTTCTGGTGGGGTACTATTGATGAGTAAAGCTTAAGCAAATGCAGTGCGGTAGGAGAATACAGAGGCATGAACTTTAAGGAAATAGATTCTGCTGCTTTCTTTCTCCAGCTCTGAAGTGGTGTTGGGGAGGTCTGCTCCAGGGTCCGGTTTGGGGTTGTGCTAGTCTGGTGTGTGCCAGCCTGTTATCTGTCCAGCAGAATGGTGATTTAAACGTAGTCCTAAACTGCATTTCAGTGTTGCTCGTGGGTTTCGTCAGTGTGGGATATAAGGGGGCGGGGGAAGGTTACAGATTCCGGTGACCCCTTTGGAATTACACCTGTCACGCCTCCCATCCCCAAGCTGCAGGTGTGTCGGAGGTTGACACATTTAACAAAATCGCAGGAAACTGCTCGCTTCTGTGGCAAAAAGTGCTGTCGGAGGTTTAGGAAATCTGATTCGGAGGAACTGTGAATTTCTGCCTCAGCTCTGGTCAGTATCACACGTTGAAATTGAGTGTTTGCCGGGCTGTGGAGAGCGATCAAATCAATTGGCTAATGATTTCTGCAAGACACCTGTTTAAGAGCTTTCAGGTTCCCTGCTAATTGTGTTTGGGCCCGGTGCCATTGCGTTAAGTGCTGTGAAAGTAAAGGGCTCTGTCTTTTTCTGTAGAGAATGTGTAGGTTGTGAATGAACTCTTTTGATTGGGGTTGGTTCTTACTTCTGTTACATTGCCTCTTCTGATAGGTACTGTTCCAAAAGTCCAAAATACCACGTGGCTGAACTGGAAATAAAATCAGCCTTACTTTTCCCCGGCTTTTTTTTTTTTTTTTTTTTTTTTTTTTTTTTTTTTTTTTTTTTTTTAGAGAGAAAATTTAATTTCGGATTAACTTTTTGTTTGATGATCTCATTGGAAAGTAGACTAGACGTGAAACTGGAAGTACTTCTCTGAGTCTTAGAGCAAAAAAAAAAAAAATTGATACGGAATTAATTGCTGGGGAAACTGAAATGACTGCTTGGGATTCATTGTACTTAGTTGTGTGCCCTTTAGGACAACTGAGAGATAAAGGTGATTCACTTCTTACAGTTAAGTAATCTCTCCATCCTTTCCACCTTTGGGAGCCCAGTAGAATTTGATCCATTGTTTGAATTAATCTTGTTTTTAATCTTTTCTGGAGATGAAGTGTTTGGCATAGTGGGAAATAGGAGGAGAAAAATACTAAGTCATATTTAGCAAGAAGTTTTAAGTCTTTCAAAACTACTTTGAACCATTACTGGAAACACCAGCAACAATTCTGAAGAGCCAGATTAAGTTGATTAATATAACTTCTTAAAATCTGCTTGAGGGAAGCTCTGAAAAGGAATGAAGGAGATAGAGTTGCTGAAAGTGCAGTTGAGCACTGATGATGGTGGGTTCTGTTCCTGCTTCTGCCATCGCAGGGCAGTGTGACCTCCTGCTAAACTGCCTTCCTGCCTGCACCTCCCAGGATACTGAGATTGCCCTGATTCTCTTAAGTGCTATTTCATATTATTTGTAAGAATAATTGCATTTAAATGTTCAGTTGTCGTCCTGATTGCTGATAAGGTGGTAGTTTGGCTCGTGCTGATACTCCTTCTTGGAAAGTTGTAGGGATCTTGAGCATCACCATTTATTTGGAGCAACACTGGATTTTTACATTGCCGCAAAGGTTTTGAGACTAGGGCTATTTTTATCCTCTGAATATCTCTGACAGTATCGGTGCATGCTTTTGCTATGGTCCCTTAAGTCTGACTCAAGCTGACTATGAAGGACAGCATTGACCTCTCCAAAAAGAAACTGTTAAACTGAATTACAGAGTGGAAAACTGTGCTGTGAGGACTAGGCTGAGGACCCCCCTCGGCGTGATGCTTGCTGTTCATGATAATTTTATTTTGAGAGGTCTGTAATTATGAACTTAGCTCAGTCGACCAGTGTGTTTGCTTTCTAATTTTAGGGTTTTTGTTTGGGTTTTTAAGTCTTTAAGACTTGTATCTTGACACTAAATGTAAATGTTTTCTGGGGCTTTTTTGAAAGCCTGGGTTTTCCTGTTTTTTTTGTAGTGGGGTTGGGACTTTACAGTGTGATGAAATTTATTACAATCTCAATGCCTGCCTTCCTGTAACATTTGAGACTGGGGTACTTTGTGAGTGTGAGGCTTTGACCTGTTGCTTTTCTCCAGGGAAAATGATACTCGGTTCTGTAGAAAGTTGCTATTGGACAAGTATAGGAGTGTTTGTGTGTTTATAACTTGCTGTCCTCCTGCATATGCACATAGCCAGCGCTGTGCTTCTGAATCTGGACAGCAAATCTAGTCTCAAATTCAGTTTCATAAATAACTAATTCTTCTTACCCTTACTGTTCCCCTTCAAAGTATGCAGTGATCTCATGCCTTTGACAGGAGTGGTTTTCCTGGCTGATAAGGGGATGGTCATGGTGTTTTCTCCCCTGGCTCTTCTGAAGGCTGTATGTTACCTCTCTCTGTGGTGATAAAGTGTGGGGAGGGGGTTGAGTGGTCTTGTGTGCACTGAGCAGTGCCATCCTGCTGAGTCTCTATCCAGTTGTCACCTGTGAAGTTGAGATCACAAAACTTATCCTGCTTGGGAAAGGTAGGTGGGTTTGAGCTGTAGATACAGGGGTTTGTCACATCTGCCAGGGGAACTGCAGACCCCTCTGGGTTGTTACTTCACCTGTATCTCTGCAAGCATCTGGTCATCTTTGTGATGACAAATATGGAGAGTGTTAATGTATCTGAGAGGACTCTAGAAGACAGGCACTGTGAGCTTTCAGCTGACAGGCGCTTGAGAAACCTGCGTAATTCACCTTTCTGCTTTTGAGTCACTCCTTAAGGAGGGAGGAATCTGTTTACTTTCTTGTTGTGCTTGGAAAATGGGCTCACCCACACCAAAAGACCCTGTAATGCTTGCTGTAGTGCAGGATTATTGCACAAAAGCATCTTGCTGTGCAGTGCTGTGGCTGCGCTCGGTGTTGTATGATAACACATGTTTCTCAGCTGTTGTTTATTCCTCAGTGGAACAGACTTCAAAGGAATGCACTGAAAGAGAGCTGCAGCCAGGGAAAAATGGGGTTTGTTCCAGTGGCCTGTACCATCCATCTGTTTAAATACTCTACTGAACTGTTCCAGAGTGGTCAGGCATCCAGTTAGGACTGATGAGCAATTACAGCTGGGAGTAGAGCCTGCTGCAAGAGACCACCTAGGGGAGGCTTAAGTTCTGTGGGCCAGAGCCCCCTGCCCTCCCAGCCAGCCAGGAGAGATAAGGTTCCTCATCTAGGGTATCTTTCAACATTCTAATTCCTAATGCTGTTGAGGATTTATTTATTTTTACTCTCCATGCTATCTTTAGCACAAGAAGGGAGGAATGGTAATGGGGACAGACTGTTATCTCTGTAGTCTCCTCTGTGCAGGTAGCAAGATAGATCTGTAATTTAAATGAGTAAATATTTATAAAAAGATTTTTTTTTTCCCATAGGTATGGGATAGTTTGCAGAGAGTGATCTGTTGATCACTTGTGTCTCCCAAGGTAGTGATATACATTACTGGATTAATTTCAGCTCCAACATATGAGCAGTAAAGTTACATGGCAGCCAGTTACGTTGTGCTCTGTCAAATTGAGGTTGGGAAAACACTTCACAATTTCATCCACAGTAACTAAAAATCCTGCAGAATTCCAAGTTATGTTTTTAGTTAAATTCCAGCATTAGCGTCTGCTGTGCAAGACACGTGTACACCCGTCATTGCCAACTGAATCTTCATATCATGGCCTGTGTGTTCTATGTGGTCCCAGACAGTGGAATATTAGCAGAGAGGCTACAAGTAATCCATGGATAACCTGTGAAGTTCCCTGAAGTTTTTCTTTATGGGACTGACATTAATTTTGAGGATTGGAATGAGCACTGTAGATAGAGCAATGTATGTTTCAGCTAAGAGGGCTTAACCTTCTTTGTCAATGGAAAATGCTCATGCAGATGCACTAAGAGGATATTTGAGCTTGGAAGGGTTGTGAGGCACTCCAGGATTTGTTTTTCGCCTGCTAGCAAGCATCACAGCTTTAAAGGTGAGCTTGAATGTTGTCCTCTCCTGTGGTATTGCTCCCTCCTTAGTACTGTGATGTGACATTTATGCCTTTGAGAATTCTTTTTCCCCATGTTGGCGGTCGTGATGGTTTCATGGTATTTTGAGACATCAGATTTTATTGCCTTACTACTCCTTTGAGTGGAAGGGGGAGGGAAACTTCTAGAAATGTGTAATGCAGCTGACTTCCAGCTTCTGCCCTTGCTCCAGGCTTGACATCGTAGTTTGAATTTATTTACTTGCTTTGAAAGCTGTACTCAATGTAACCTTGAGTTTTACTTCCCTTCCTGCAACAGTACCTGACATGTTTCCAGCCTGTACATTGATGTTCCTCTGCATTGTCCAGTTTTAAACTGGCCAGGCTCTCAGTGCTTTCTTTATTGTGTTCTCCCCAGGAATCTTCAGAGCTGGGACTTCCTTTTGCTTCAAGTGAACTGGAAGTATTTTGCTAAAATGTTTTTGGACTCCTGAAGTGTGTGTCAATGTTTCCAAGCTGTTGTTTGAAAGGAGTTTGGAGTTTCCGGAAGAACCTTTGGAAACTTAAGGTTTTACTCTCAGTCAGCAGTTCTGTGAGCATGGATAAAGAGAGGCTGTAATTCCACTGGGCAGCCAGATGTTTTGTGTCTGTGCTGAAGTGGGAAGACTGTGGCTTTAGGGGTTGAAGGGTCTGCTGTTCTTGTCACAGGGCTGTTTGGAGATCTTCAACAGATCTGATCTGCTTTCTCTCCTCTGCCTTCTACTCCCTCCTGCCATGCCTGTGCTGATGGTGATTACCTCTTTCTGAGTAAAATGGGATTATTGAGAGCAGAGCATAATTTCTTGCTTTCTAAAAGGTAGGTATTTGCTTGTCAGTCTGTGTTTCTTAAATACTAAGCTTGAAGCCATATAAAAGCTGCATGTACCTTGACAATTAGTGAATTAATAGGAATTATCCAATAGATTGATACTAATGCTTATTCTAACTAGTGGCATTAAGTGAAATTTATAAAGAAGTCAGTTTGCCTTGCAAACAGAAGAGAGCACTCATTGATGCAAATCCCCCAGTTCCATATTAAATTGCACCATTTTTAGGCACTTAAACACTTGTAAAATCTGTGTCTGTCCTTGTCTTTCTTCTCCCTCTTCTATGTGACCTATGAGGGAAAGTTAAAAGGAACTCATCAGTGGCTGCACATGTCAGCATCTTCCTGGAGAAGAAAGTATGAAGATGCCACAGCTGATAATATTTAGAAGTTGGTGTTGGGAATCAAGAGAGCAAATTCTTAAATGTGCCATTGTAGCTGTGTGGCTGGCAATATTAACTAAGTTGTATCTGGAATAATAATTCCTGTCTGGAGAAAAACATGTGGCAGTGGTTGAATGCCCTTGTCCTTGCCCACCAGGAAGTGATTATGGTGGTTTTTCAGGTTTTTTTTTTTTTTTTTTTTTTTTTTTTTTTTTTTTTTTTTTTTTTTTTTTTTTTTTTTTTTTTTTTTTTTTTTTAAGCAAGTTTGCCCTGGGCTTCATCCCTGCCTCCAAGTCAATCCAAGCATTTGCACTGTTTTCACTGCGGGCAAGGACAGAAACTTTGAATAAGCTGAGTTGGAGACTGTGTTTTGAGCAGTGGAAGTGGCACAGAGGAGCTCAGGACTAACAAAGAACAGTCACACTGAATACAATGCAGTGTTTTCATGTAGCTAATTGGATTGGAATTGGTAACCTGATACTCCAAAGAGATAACAAAGGCTATTTAGCATACAAGGGAACATAGGGGTTTTTTTTTAAGGAGTTGGTAGAGTGTAGTAGAATCTTTTGTCAGAAATCATTCCAGTGAACAAGTTCTGGCAGAAAATGACTAAATTAATAAGAGTTTTACATACTCTGAATAGAAATTGAGTTTTCCTTTTTACTGCCCGTGTTCTTTCACTGCAGTTCATGTATTTGCTTAGCAGTTTACCTGCTTCCCTCATGTCCTGTGAACTTACTCTTTGTTTCAAACTGAAATATACCATAAATTAAAAGTCTTTGGGCTTTTCTTCCAAGAATGGAAGAAGGGAGCAAAACAAAATGAAATGTACAAAGTTGTCATAATGAATCTGGTACCCTGCTGTGCCCTTATTTCCCAGGAACAGACCAGAAAGCGACCAGCTCGATACAGACCACTGCAGGGCTACTTGGGGTTAAGCTGTCCTGTGTGAGACCACAGAGACTGTCTTTAGATGGCTTTTGATGTAGTGAGGATGAACATCTGTGATGGTGATCAGCTGTAACAAAAGCTAGTCCGATCTCATAACTAAAGAGTTAAGATAATATTGTACTTTAGGCCTGCTGCTTGCCTCCCTTGTGGTTTTAGTGAATCAAAGGAACTTGCAGACCATGTGGGCAAGGCTGGAAGATAAGAGGCACATACCTTTAGGAAGTGGTGTGTGCTACAGGAAGGGAGCTGGGTGTGGGTTTGCTGTTGGCAAGTTGTGTGCCAAGGGCTGGTCATTTTTCTGAGGCAGAACTTAGGAGAAGAGGCTCACCTTCCTTAGGTAGGGTGTGAGAGAGCTGGGCTCCTGACAGCAGCCAGAAATTACAATTTAGAATGTTATCCGGTGGTGGGTTTGGTTTTACTTAAACTTTTGGCAAGACAGAAGGAGGTTTGGGTCTATTAGGAGTTGCTGGTCTTCTGTTTGTAACTCATTGCAAAGCTCCTCATCAGCCTTGATCAGCAACCTGGGCTGGTGGCAGGTGTCCTTGCCCATGGCAGGAGGTTGGAATGAGATGGTCTTTAGGCCCCTTCCAACCCAGAGCATTCTGTGATTCTGTGCTGCATTCACAGTGTGCCTTTTGAAACACGGGGCTCTTTCCCAACCCTTGCTGCTCTCCTGCTGCTGTTCTTTTAGCACTTCCCAATAGTGACTTGTTCCTGTGCTCCCTGTGTCTGCCTGATGGCACTGCCACCCCTTTCTGCCCTGCCACCAAGCTTCCTAAACACTCCTTCATGACTTTGTGGCTTTCCAGATGCCCCTCTAAGTTGCGGCCCAGCTTTTGGTTTTGGATGGGAGGGAAAGACACCGGCACTTTCCCTTTGCATCTCCCAGCCACAGAGCATTCCTCCAATTCCTCTGCTGCTGAGGTATTTGGAGCAGAGCAGGGGGAACACTTGCTTTGCTGTTTTGTTGTCCAGGAGTTTGGTTTAACTTGCACGAAGCACCTGTCCTGTTGTGATCCTGACGTCCTGTCAGTGCTCATTTCCCCTGCTCCTTGAGAGGCAGCGTTTTTGTGGCTGGCAGCTCTCTGCCTTAGCCTTCTAGGGAAGCCTAACCAGAAATATTCTAGAATTCTTCCACTCTCTCCCTCCCCTTATCCTTCACTGACCTCTAACCACATTTTTATCTTTCTTGACAAGATGCTTAGTTTCATTTATCAGCTGCTTTTCCCTTCATTCTTCAGCTTTGATTATTTTTCCAGGAGCTGCTTAGAAACGTTAATCATTACAGATGTGCAGAATGGTCAAATACAGTCACATTCCTTAGTGTTTTGTGTTTTTTTTATTGTACTCTAATATTCAAGTGCCTGTGGCAGGTAAATATTTTTTATGTACACTACTTGTCATGACAAAAATATTCATGCTCAGCACAGGGTAAGGAAATGCAGTTGGCTGGATTTTCATATTATTATATACCAGTATTACCAGCTGCAAGAGCCCTGTGTTTCCCTCCCTGAGCATAAACTAGTGTAGTAAGTTCTGACTTTTTTTAGTCTTAACATTTTCTGAATTTTTATTTACACACTGTAAGATAAAAATGTCACATAAATAGAAAGAAATGGCAAATACACTTTCTTGTCTTAGTCTTGTGGTGTACTAAGTGCTTGACAAATGCTGTGCCATCTCTAAACAATATTATTTTGTTCTAAAAATCTTAAATATTACCTCAACTTTTGTAAAAATGTGTTTGCTTCAACTGTGGATAGCAGAGCAAAGGATGACTGGATTTATTTAAATATATGCTGCAAGAGTATTTCTTTCCTATTTTACAGTGCCCTTCATGCTTGTCATTGTAAGTATATATGCAAAAGCCTAAATAATTGGAAATCTATATGTTTCCTGAGCATGGTTTACTTTAATAGTCCACAATGGTCTCTGGACAAACTGTATTTTATTTCAAAAGACCTCCATTATCCTCAGCTTGACCAGTATGAATGAGTATAGCATTCAATGTATACACCATTTTTAAGAATACCCTTCTTTTTCTTGCTGACATAGACATAAAGCATGTGGTAGGGTGAAGACAGTTGTATAATGGAGTAGAAAATTAAACAAGAGGGAAAAAGAGGGTATGGCTTCAAGTTTATAGAGAGGGATATTGTAGAGAGTTTAGATGGGATATTAGGAAGAAATTCTTTCCTGTGAGGGTGGTGAGGCACTGGAAGAGGTTGCACAGAGAAGCTCTGGATGCCCCATCCCTGGAAGTGTTCAAGGATCTCATGAAAAAAGAATATTTAAATCCCTTGTGGTGTTGTCACAATGTGTAGCTATAATGTTGAGCCTCTGCATTGCTGGGATTTCAAGTACAAGGCAGATGGGAATATCTGGTCTGATTTTAATGTTGGCAGGGGGAGCCATCTGAGTTGCTTCATTCAGGGTTCAAACCATAGTTTGAACAAGATTACAGGGTGAACTTCCTTTGGACATTCTTATGTCCACTACTTATCAGTGGCTTTTTTCCTGTAAAAATAAAAGGTATGCCTACTAGATGAATTATTAGACCATAAATCAGCAGCTGGTAGGTGCATGTCCCATCCTCAGTGGGCGAGCCTGTTGGCATGCCCAAGGGTAATGTCTCTGTAATGAAGTCCAGCTCTGGAACAAGTTCTTGATGAAGCTGTGTAGCAACTTGACAGCCTATGTTGCGCCCTGAAAAGCTCCTTAGCCAGGCTGGAGTGGCAGAGGCACGGATGTAGAGTGATGATGGCCAAACAGTGCCACCTGCGAGCCACGCTGTGAGTCACTGAGGCTGTGTGTGCTGTGGCTATCACATCACCAAGGGGAAATGCCTGGAAACGATGTTAAGCCAGGTAAATTAACCTGGCACCTTGAGTGGGATAGCACAGGCATGTAGCTGAGGTACAGCTTCTCTGCTAGCAAGTAGCTCAAACAAAAGGAAATGTAAACTAGGGTGTTCTTTTGGAATACTGAACATTTTAAGGGACTAGTATCAGAGGCTCATCTTTTTATGAGAGGAGGTGACTGGAAGAGTCAGATTTGTTGTAAGATAATTGGAAGCAGCCATGAATTGTTACGGTACCCTGTCAATTCCAGGAGCTGGGAAGGATGTAAAGAGTAATCCAGCAGTTGGTACCCAGATACTGTGTGGCAAATAAACCACTGGCTGTTCTTACATATTTTCTTGTGACTTTTACTGCAGTTTTCCTGAAGGATAGTAATTCTAATGCCAGTGCTGTTTGAGCATACAGAGCTTTCTGGGAGGGTTTGTATGTTCTTCTGATGGAAGTTCAAAATAATCTTGCTCTACAGCAGTTTTCATTTTGCTCTGTGTTGTGTCCTTCTTTTCCCTGTCTTCCTGACTCCTGCAGTATTTTAATAAAGTCAGTCATGTGCTTTTTGAACTAGGAAAAGGGAAATAACTGTAATGCTCCAACATGGGTTCTTTCTAATACAGCTGACATTCAAGTAAGACATTAAAGCAAAGGTAAATCTTGTAGTTTGACTTGGTTCATTTTCATAGTCCTTTTTCAAAACCTGTGTTTTTGTCATGATTTCCTGCAGTGGATTTATTCCTCATGTTGAGATTTAATACAGACCTTCAAAGGAGATCACAAAGTAAAGAATCAGTATTAGTTTAGA